CAACTGAACCAATTTCAACCAAATTTGGCATAAAGCATCTATGGGTGAAGGGGAACAAAAATTGTGAATTTCATGATCCCTGCCCCCCTGGGGCCTGGGGGGTGGGGCCAAAACCACTAAAATTAATGCAATCTTTAAAAATCTTCTTCTTTACTCCTGGACACCAAGCAGTCAAACTGTTTGCATGATTGTAATCAGAAATGAGTCCTCTACCAAAATTGTGAAATCCATGGCCCTGGGGTCAGGGGTTCTAGTGCTAGGGCGGGGCTAAATAAGTAGGTAGTGAAAATGCATTATTTCTTTGAAAATCTTCTTCTCTGCTCCTGGGTATTAAATAAACCAACTAAGTACATAGTTATGATGAGCAAGAGTGCCTCTACCAAAATTGTGAATTTTATGGCCCCAGGGTCAGGGGTTCTGGTGTTAGGGCGGGGCTCTATTGATTATATAGTGAAAATACATCAATTCTTTGAAAATCTTCTTCTCTGCTCCTGGGTATTAAATAAACTAACTAAGTACATAGTTATGATAAGCAAGAGTGCCTCTACCAAAATTGTGAATTTTATGGCCCCAGGGTCAGGGGTTCTTGTTTTAGGGTGGGGCTCTAATGATTATATAGTGAAATGCATGAATTCTTTGAACATCTTATCCTTTGCTCCTGGTTAATATGCTAATGATCTTATTAGCTCACCTGAGCTGAAGGCTCAAGTGAGCTTTTCTGATCACATTTTGTCCGGCGTCCGTCTGTTATCTGTCTGTCTGTAAACTTTTCACATTTTCGATTTCTTCTCAAGAACCGCTGGGCCAATTTCAACCAAACTTTCCACAAAGTATCCTTGGGTGAAGGGGATTCAAGTTTATTCAAATGAAGGGCCACGCCCTCATTCACGGGGAGATAATTGGGAATTAATGAAAATTTGGTAGCATATTTTAAAAATCTTCTTCTCAAGAATGACAAAGCCATAATTCATCATATTTATATGGAAGCATGGTCAGGTAGTGTAGATTCAAGTTTGTTCAAATCATGACCCCCCGGGGTAGGGCGGGGCCAAAATGGCCGACCAAACTTTTACACAGAAATATGTAGGGAAATTCTTGAAAAATCTTCTCAAGAATGACAAAGCCATAATTCATCATATTTATATGGAAGCATGCTCAGGTAGTGTAGATTCAAGTTTGTTTAAATCATGACCCCCGGGGGTAGGGCGGGGCCAAAATGGCCGACCAAACTTTTACATAGAAATATATAGGAAAATTCTTTAAACATCTTCTTCTCAAGAATGACAAAGCCATAATTCATCATATTTATATGGAAGCATGCTCAAGTAGTGTAGATTCAAATTTGTTCAAATCATGACCCCCAGGGGTAGGGCGAGGCCAAAATGGCCGACCAAAGTTTTTAAAGATATATATATAGGAAAATTCTTTAAAAATCATTTTCTAAAAAATAGCAAATCCATGATTGGTCATGGGACTACTTTTGGATTTAAACTTTACAACTAGAGGTACTGTGAGCAATGAGCTCACTAAATGATACCCCCCGCCTCCCATATGAATATAATAGCAGTGTCCATGTTTTGCTCTGAAAAATCCAAAATATATGTCAGATCAAAAAGTAAAATAGGAGGTGCACAATGGCAATATGTAATAAAGATTCTGTGAAAGTTTCATTAAATTTCCTTCAGTGGTATGGGAGGAGTTGCGGATAAGAGATGGGTACCCCAAAGCGTAACAGACGGACGGACGGGCAGACGTACAGATGGACGGAAATACCGATTACTATATACCCTCCCGCTTTTCAAGGGGGGGTATAATAAAAAGCCATTTTCTACTTTTTTCTACCCTTACTGCTCAGGTGAGCGATGTGGCCCATGGGCCTCATGTTACATATTTAAGGCCAGGATTTATTTTATTTTCAGTTTTACAAACCCTCCGCTCAAGGTTTTGAATTTTCAGAAAAAAATAAAACAATTTTTTCCGATGTCAAATTTGAGTCGGGATCGACATTTCAAATTTACGAACTCGCACTTCCAGTTTTACGATGAAACGGCGGGTAAATAAAGGTAAATCTGAGAAGATAGCTTGGTTTAGTGTAAAATTCATCGATAAGAGTGCCATTCAAAACGTTTCACCCGTTCAAAGGACAAATAAAATGCTGACGACTTTGTTGCACAATGACATGCTGGTGAGATAATTATGTATTCGTTTCAAAAGTAACTGTCTGTAAATTATTTTCCTCCTCCAGGTTTTAAACTGCCCGTGGTAGCTATTGCATATTACCAGCAACATTGTTTAGGTCTCTGTTATAGCTTACAGTCTAAGCATCATTCTTCAGAAAAGGGTTGCTTATGCATCAGATGTAATGAATAAAACTATAGGAGAAGTGAAGTCCATTTGAGGAAGAAATAAACAATAACCTGAAGAAATAAAAAAAAAATTCAACTATTAAAAGGCAAGAATATACAACTATATACAGGCATGTAGTATCATTTGTATCAGCCAGAAAAATTATTTTACACTTAATTGAAAAAAATGTTGACCCTACTCCCCAATACTCCCTGTCTGTTTTATGATAGGAATTATAATTTTAGGCATCAAGTAAATTTTAGAACATTGTCTACACATTCACCTAACACATATTTAAAAAATGAAGATATATTGAAAGACTTTTAAAGAATTGATTTTTTAAAATATATTTTGTTCAACATCACAAAATTGATATAACTGGCCCAAACTGGCAGATGATGAAATAAGCAATTAAATGTTCTACTTTCCTATTTGTAAGCATTATGTGTCCAGTGGTAAGGAGCCTATTAGGATAGCATAAAAAAGAATGTACAAATGTTAATAATTGATTTATCAAAAAAAAATTTTTATTTCCTTCTCCTTCGGGACTTTTTTATTCTCATGTTCATAACTAAACCTAAACACAAAAAAAAATGCTGGCCTTATAATGAAGAAAGGGGCCTCTTTCAAAATAGATAATTTCAGGGCTGCTGGGTCAGGGGTACCAGGGGGGTACTTTGACTAAAAATAAATTAATGCTTTGAAATCTACCCTTTGATAAGCAATGGTGCCTCTTTCAAAATTTGTGAATTTCATGGCTTTTGGATTAAAACACGAACCAAATACAATCGCTGGAAAGTTGTTACATGATACTCAGGTGACGTATAAGGCCCGTGGGCCTCTTGTTATATTTCAACTTTGCAATACTGATCCGAGTTCTGTTTTTCCAAGCTATACTTATTGAATCAACTAGTTTAACATATGTTATTGACAGAGTCAAAAGGATTAGACACGTGCAAGTTCAAAATGTATTAGTTTAGGGTCAGCAGGTCAAAAAGATAATATGATTTTCACAAATAAAAGTAATACTTGTATATCACTGTAACAGCATTTTTCAACATAAATGTAGAGCTAATATGATGATGGCATTCATTGTGGGGTCTAGAGAAAGTTTAGTCATTTGTTTTGAGTGACAGTGGAGACATGTAAAGGTCATCTTAGGACAGCGATCAGGTCAACTGGGGTCAAGAATGGTCAGAGGTCAAGCAATAAATGCCTGTCATCAGACACATGAAGAAAATGTGGGAGCTTCGTTGCTGACATCAGTAATAAATACAGGGGAAAGAGGTATTGTGTGGTCGTTATTCTGTGAACGGGAAAGTCCGTACATCTGTCTGAGGCTGTTCCAAGCATCCAGTAGTAGACAATTTATGGCCGGGGTTGAAGATTTATAAAAATATGGCAAAATGTTTTTTGTGTGAATATATGAAATACAATGTCTTGTATATATAAAAGCTTATTTATATGTGTTTACATGGTCATAAATATGCAGTATCATATATCATGCCCACAGGTCTAGCAAGAAGATTATACCAGTTTAATGAAGAATGTAATTATTCTGTGAGCTGTTTATGGGGTGAGGTGTCAGTTTTATTTTTATAGCAACTCATGTTTCCCAATCATTCTGATTTAATGATGCAACAAGAACTTCAATAGTTTGATCTGATAAATGATCTGGTGGCCTCAGTTATGATTTTTAGGGTTACATTAGTGAGATCAAATATCCAGTTATGAAATAAATAAGGCATGTATGGAATCAACTTAGGCAGCAATTATTTAAGGAATAACTGTCTTATTTTTCGATTTCATGATGTGATCAATCGATTGGCTTGCGTGATAATTTGCATAAACGCCAAAGGCGTTTATGCATAAAATTATCACGCAAGCCAATCCATTGATCATCCTCATGAAATTGAAAAATCTGACTGCCAGTCAATGTGCTCCAAGCCCTGCTTCTGTCTAGCTATTTGTCCCGCCCTGCAGGTGTTTTTTTTTTTTTTGAACTGCGCCAATACATTGATGGGGAAATAAAGTACATTTACAATTTGTTATTTCGTCTCGGACAAAGACTTTGGAAATGTAAATATTGTTGCATACAAATTGAAAAATTATCCAGAATACAACAAAATCTTTCTTGCAGTAAATTAGCAATTTGAAGAATACCAAGTTGCGGTTGTCTAAAGAGACATATCAAGATGCTCTTTTAGTTTGTGTTGGATTGCACATTTTCGAGTGAAAACATCTTTTCCAGAAAAAAACACATTAGAAATACTTGAGTAAATATATCAGCATTTTTGGTACTCTTGGCCTCCATGAATATGGCTGAGGCAAAGAGTTTGGCATGTCTGTCTTCCAACCTTTCAGTCTTTTGTCTTTTTTTAAATGAAAATTTTGCCAAACTTTGCTTTGAGTAGGGATCCAACTAAAGTAACATGCATTCATTAAAGATTGAGGCTCAAAACATTCAAAATCCTGTTGACCTACAACATGGTGGGCAAGGGAAAAAGGCTAAACTTCCGCTCAGAATGCTTTAATATATGGCAGTGCCTATGATGCAAAATTAAATGAAACAAATATGCAAAAAATACAATTGTCTTAAGTTTTCACATTCATGAGCATTTTCAGAAAATCTTTGTTCTTGTAGGGAAAAGAGAAGCAGTTCACAGATGATGTTGATGAGTAGATCAGAAGATGAGAAACTCGAGATCTGGCTGCAAAAATTCCGGGCTCTTGAAGAAAAACTAAAGAAAGAAATGAAAATATGAATAATATTCAATCAAAGGATCCACATGATGAAATTCTGGAAATTCCACAGGGAAAGCCAATAAGAATTTTTTAATTGACCATCTCTGCTCAAAATCCTTGAAAGCCGTTTTAGCTGATGCCCTAATTGCTGAATACACTTTTCTCCCAGACTGGAATTAAAAATTATTCCATTTTAGGCATAAAAACACACTTCGAAATATGCTGAGGAAGGAACCCGCTCTCCTCTTGACCAAGTAAGGTTAAGGATTCTGCAAAGAGTCACGTTTGAATTGAAATTTTTCATAATTTTACCTGCAGTGAACTACATGATTCATTTATTATCGTTATCACTTATCAGAGTTGTTTACTTGAACAAAGATTTTGTTGCCATGGTTGGAAAACAAAAATTCTGTGAAATCTTTCAAGATGCTGTATTTTTATAAAATATCTTCTTTTACAGTTTTTAGCTCACCTGAGCCAAGGCTCGAGTGAGCTTTTCTGATCAAAATTTCTCCGTTGTCTGTCGTTGTCACCGTTGTCGTCGTTGTTGGCATTGTCGTCGTCGTAAACTTTTCACATTTTCATCTTCTTCTCAAGAACCACTGGGCCAATTTCAACCAAACTTGGCACAAAGTATCCTTGGATAAAGGGGATTCAATTTTGTTCAAATGAAGGGCTACACCCTCTTCCAAGGGGAGATAATTGTGAAGAACTGGGTACGGTATGTAAAACGAGGCAGCCCTGTAAAATTGGCAAAAATTAAATGCACGATAACATTCTTTGAACTGTGTCAATTTATTGTGAAGGTTCCCATTTGTGAAAAAATGATATCAATTTTCCTCAACTCACGTGACCTTTTTGTGTACATAACGTTCAAACCTGGTCTAATATTCTGGAATTCACCTATTTTGGACGTTTTCCTCTTCTTCAAGTCTAAATTTCGATGTGGCCGCATTCAAGTATGTATGCGAAACTTCGCAGAAAGAACAAGTATACTTTGGTTTCTAATATGCAAGAGAAAAAATGACTGTACAAAAGTGCGGCCACGTCCGTTTTTACGAAAAATTGCAGTTGAAAATATTTCGTTTTTGGATAGATGTAACTTTTCCTCCATAATAAAACCTATACATTTAAAGAAATTAATCGTTTAAGTTTGAATCTAAAACTTCTATCTAATCTATACTTTTACAGAAATTTATTGTTTAAATCTGTATCTGAATGTTATGAAAACCACATAAACTTTTCAAAAAAATTTATCAAGGGACGTTACATGTAAATTAATGACGCAATACATTGAAAAACATGACGTCATAATGAGCCATCATATACTGAACATCCAAATTCTTCAGTCTTCCATAATGAAATACTTAATATCATTATATGAAAAATTTCCAATCAATATATTCAGAGAAAAACAGTAATAACGACATAAGTTGGTATGATTCAGGGGATTAATTTACATTTATACATGTACCTCTAATTAAAACGAGCGTCTCCTTCATAATGGACATGATATTGACTTTACTGTTCAAGAAAAAGATCTTTTTTTAACGTTCTGTTGAAAGACTCATACTGCTTTCTTGAGTATGATTTAGGTTGTACATTTATCATGCTGATCAGAATGTTGACATCAGTGTTTTCAAGACAGGTTTAAATTATAAACATGCAATTCAAATGCGGATCCAGGGCCTATGCGCCGGGCGTCCCCCCTACCCCCATTTGATTTTTTTTAAATGTTTTATTTAGTAAAACAAGCATTTAACTTCAGTTTTGTACAGTTTAGTATATAAGTTGAAAAAAAAATAATTACATCGAAGTCCTTTATTTATTTTTTTGTCACTAGCATTAAACACAAACATGTAGATCTACATGTATGGTACGAGATATTCCGAAATATTTTACTGCCATACATGTACTTAACTCTAAGTATTCTGAAATTTTTGCAAGATCACGATTGGTTTTCCAAAATAAAGGGGGATACACATATACTAGGTATTCGTTCCCCGGACCCAACCAGGAATGTGCCCTCAACCCCTGTGGGGCTTCAACGCAGCTTCAGACACCTTGCCTTCAATACCACCCCTTCCCCGTTATTAAATTCCTGGATCCGCAACTGTAGTTTACAAGGAACTTTATAGATAATGAAATAATATTATTTTGACAAAGTTTTGTAAGGCTTAAGTTGTGAGTGTTTTCGGCAATTACTATGAAATGTTTCCAATTGTAGTTAACTTTTTTCTTAACACAGAAAAGTGAAGGCAATTTTAACATATTATATGAATCCGTTATTTAAGAAATAAAAACACGCAAAATCATGCATTGTTTTTGGACAAGAGACACCACTTTCCCCCTTCCGCTAGATACAGTCGATGTATTTAGCTTGATTTGGAGTTTTTTAGAAATTAATTAAGACATTTATAAGACATGAAATTGCTTTTTAAAATTATTTTTGGTAAAATGAATGTATCAGACAAAATATTGTTAAGATCTAAAATAATTTTAACCAAATTATCCATGAAATAATACTTTAAATATGTCATGGGAAATAAATATTGATAAAATTTGACATTCATCAGGGCTGGGAAGGTGGGTGGGGTGTCCAGTCCTTTATCACCGTAGTGAAAATGGTACACATCAGATTTGGATTTTAAAGATGTCAACGTCCGTCTATGATGATTATTCGTTCCAGAAAATTATTATTGTCACTGAAATCTATCAAATATATATAAACATTTATATTTAGGAGGTATGTAAAGCAAAATAATTGTCTATGCTTTATCAGTTTTTGTCTAAGTAGAGTTGTATAGTCATGTAATACATGTCATCTGTTACGTATATTTTAAAAGAATTTTCATTAAAACAACTCTCAAAAAAACTTATCTAGTTAGAAACACAATCTCGCCTTAAATGCTAATCCGGGATTGGCAAACCTAACTCCGTAAAAAAAGGCAGGCCGTAGTGAGGGTGCCAGCAAGTCACAAATAACATCAGTTTTCGTATATTAATAACAGAACTTCAAAAGTGTCTCAATGTGTAGCTTATAAAAAGGTTAATAAAGAAAAGGGACGTGAAGTGAATTTTGATATTTTTTTAAATGTAAGTGTTTTTTCATTCTGTATTACGATTATTTGCATTTTGTCTTCATTTAAATTAGAAAAATAGATAGAAGTATGTGTGTGTGTGTGGGGGGGGGGGGGGGTTACTGATTATCAGCATGTATTATAATGCCTACAAATGAACAAGTTTATGTCAAGAAATTGATTTCAAACTAGAAATAGTCCTTTCCTATTTTCTGTTGATCTCCACTCGACTCTGATCGTTGATCGATTGTTTACAGCCAACATCAATGCTTTGAAAACAAAACGCACAGACTCCCATATCTTAAATTAATACGTTGATAGACCAAGTCATACACTAAAGTTACATAATATTTCAGTGTAGTGTATTTATTTCTACAAGTTTTAGAAATTTATGCCCGTTAGACAGAACTTCTAAATTGTACTACTAAATTCTGGGATCCATTCCCGAAAATTCGTGTGGTTTTTTTTTGTCTTTATACCCCCGCTTGAAAATCAGGAGGGTATATAGTAATCGGTATGTCTGTCCGTCCGTCTAGCTGTACGTCTGTTAAGCACTGGGGTACTCATCTCTTATCTGCAACTCCTCTTGTACCACTGAGTGAAATTCAATGAAACTTTTATAGAATCTTAATAACATATTGCCATTATGCACCTTCTGTTTCACTTTTTGATCCGACACATATTTAGGTTTTTAACGGCAAAACATAAAAGAGAGGTACCCCAAAGCATAACAGACAGACGGACACCCCGATCACTATATACCCTCCCACTTTTCAAGCGGGGGTAAAAAATCTAAAATCAAAGAAAATGGAAAAAAGGCATATCATATAACTCGAAATAGGGAGTAATTAATATGTCTATTTAAAAAAAAACGACATTTTTAGCGCCGCTATTTGTTGGAATGGAAAAGGGGGAGTTCTGTTGATAACTTTTTCATTGAACAATGCATTCAATTTTTAAAGTACTCACCTCCTTTCGTCTGGTTGAATCAAGTTTGTAGCTTGTCTGGTACAATCGTTTGTTAAAAAATTATATATTTCTGAAATTTATAAAACTAATTCAATTAAACTATCAACGATATATGATGAATTGAAAGAAAGATCAAAATAGGTTTCCTGGAATATTGGCAGGATTAAGTAAATATTTTTCGGTTAAGAGAATTTACAGATTTCATTTAACGTAACGTTAAAATCAGTAACGTCGTGATGACGTCGTTAGGTCAAAATTTGTAATTATCAAAGAAAGTGCACCATTTTTCTGAACCTCTGGCTGAAAAACGCTATGAGATACAGGTGACTCTCGATCTCTCAAAGTACAAGGGACCGCAAGAAAAGTTCGAGAGATCAAGGGGTTCGAGAGATAGAAAGTAAATAAAATCTGAAATTTTCAGTTCCGATCATCGATGTTCTACTATTATAGATGCTGGAAGTATATGTAAATACAGTTATTGCACGTTTTCAATCATATTTTACAGGTAATAAACTTGATATCAACAACAATGATCGTATTTCGAATAAATATAACGAATTCCTGAAGTTTCATTATTTACTTGTTCTTATTTCACGATAACATGAAACCCGGATAGCAATTGTAGGTTTGGCTATTCTGCGGCTTGATCGGGTCCTTGATCACCAGTGTTCACCATATTTTTCTTAATCGGTATTCAGTCCTTCAGAACGAAATTTCTTGTGCAATATTTGCCATACTGGGATTATGTAGACTCTATTGAAAGTTCATACTCTATGGGAACTTATTGAAATGAACGTCTGTAAATTTATTTTCTAAAAATTTATCGTCTCTGTTTCAAGTCAAAATAAGTTGTGAATTCGGTTATAATAATTTACCAGTAATAACCAATTAATTATATCAACACACGGACGACCTACAGGTGTAGTGTCATCTATGTAAACACCCAATTAACACCTCCATGCCAGCCCCGGGCATTCACTGTTTTTCCAGGTAAGTCAAGGCTCAATTATACGCTTGATCGGGCAATCAAAACTTCGAGAGATAGAGAGTAAAATTCAATGAAATATGTGTAACGGGACCCAGGTTTTTGTTAGAGAGATAGAGAACTTCGAGAGATAGAAGTTCGAGAAATCAGTAGTAAATTTGCTTAGTTATATAGAGGAAAAAAAGGGACCGGAGGTTCACTTCGAGAGATAGAGAACTTC